GGGGGGGGGGGGGGGGGGGGGGGGGGGGTACAGACAGATTTGGGGAGGGCGCAGCGCGTGTGGGGTGCAGGCAGTTTCGGGGGGAGCAGGGAGATGCCGCGCGGGGAGCGCGGGGAGCTCAGCGGGGTGCGGATCTCGGGGGGATGGGGGGAGTTTGGGGGGCACGGGCAGAGCAGCCTGCCTCCCCCACGGCAGATCGGGGCGGGGGGCTCCCCCCGGCCTCTCAGGCCGCAGGTGAGCGCGGAGCCCCCGGGCCGGGGCCGGGGCCGGGGGGTGGGACCAGCCCGGCGATAAAAACGGCGGCGCGGGCGGGACGGGACGGACGGACGGAGGGAGCCAGCGGCGGGGCCGGTGCCGGTGCCGAGGGAGCGGCGGAGCCCTCGAACCGTTTATTGCTCCCCCCTCGGTGCCCTCGCTGCGCCCCCCACGCCGGCAGCCGCGATGCCAAACTTCTCCGGGAACTGGAAGATGAAGAGCTCGGAAAACTTCGAGGAGCTGCTGAAGGCGCTGGGTGAGTGGATCCCCGCTCTGCCTCCGCGTCCCTGCGGGATTCCCTCGGGCTGGGGGCGGGGGGTCCCCCCATCTCCCCCCATCTCCCCCCATCTCCCCCATCTGCCCCCCAAATCCTCTCGCAGCCCGGCAGTGCCGGTGCCCGGAGCCGCCGTGTGCCGGGGGGATCCCTCTGCTCCCCCTTTTAGCAAAGTTCTCGTGCTCGGTGCCCCGCTGAGGAGCCCGAGGCACGAGGGGGCCGGGCAGCGTGTCCCGCTCCCCAGGGATCCCACACGGCCCCTGCGGGTCCACTCTCTGTCTCTCCTGCCTCAGTTTCCCCACCCCGGTGCTCCCCCAAGCACCACCCCGATCCCCTCCGCCCCCCATCCCAAAAGCTCCCGCGGGCTCACCTGCCCCAGGGACCCTGCGAACAGCCGCTGATCCCCAAAACCAGCCCGGGCAGGACCCCGCTGTTTTTGGGGTCCCATTCTCCCAGGCCTCACCTCGGGCCCCTTTGCCCCCCACGGCGGGGCTGGGTCTCGGCTGAGCGGGGTGGGGAGGGCCCGGACTCACGGCCGGGGTTGGAATTTGGGGGGAGCACCGGCCGGGGGGGGGGATCCCCGGGGCTTTGGGCAGGATCAAATCCAGCTCCCCCGCTGCTCCCCTCCGCCTGACCCAGCCGGGGAGCTGCCGGAGCAGAATATTTTCCAGGTTAGGGGATACGTAACGAATATTTCAGGATAATTATCACTTTCTTGGGTTTCACTCCCGATCCCCCGTCGCCCCTTCTCCCCGCCCTGGCCCCGCTGATGGAAGCGGCTCGGGGAAAACCTCAGCAGGAAAATAAATCTGCCAGCCCCCCCGGAGCCCTCTTCCTTTCCCACGGCGCAAGTGGGGGCTCCCCCCGGCTGCTCCCTCGGGGGGCTGGGGGCTTGATGAGCCCCAGACCCCCAGGCTGACTGCACCAGACCCCCGAGCCTTGGTTTCGCTCCCTTTGGGGGCTGCTTTTATCCCCCACCCCCGGCAGCATCATGCGGGGGGCTGCGTGTGCCCCGGTTTCGGGCACCCCCCGGCTGGGAATCAAACCTGGGGGTGCTCGTGGGGTCTCGGCGTGGCCACCCAGGGGACCCCTGAGGGACGTGGCCCTTCCCACGCCAGGGGGGTTCGGCTCCTGGAGCCCCCCCGACCCCTCCGCGTCCCCCCCTGCTGGGCCGGGGGCACCTCCTTTGTGCGGGGGGGGTCTCTGGGGGGGTCAGCCACACCCCGAGGGTGACACGGGAACAATGTCCCCAAAGTCCCCTGTGACAGCCGCGCCGTGATGGATGAGCCGCCTCTGGAGCGGGGACAAAGCCCCGGCTGCCCCGCGGGGGGACACGGGGACCCCTCGGGGGGTCACGCAGGTCACCTCAGGCAGGGCTGCCGCTGGGGCCTTGTCCCCGCTGTCACCCCGCTCTGGGTGAGCCTCGCCCCCGTCACCCCCCGTCCCTTCCCCCGGGCGCAGCCGGCGCCAAGCCCGGCATCCCCCCGCCCCTGCAGCAGGTAACGAGAGCCAGATGTGGCCCAGCGGTGCTCGGGGGGGGCTCCTCCGTCCCCCCTCGGCGTGCCCGGAGCCACCTGCGGGGCTCGCCGGAGCCCGGGATGTGTCCCCGCCGCTGCCCCCGGTTCGCCGGGCCGGTGCGGAGGGCAGCCCGGTGCCACCGTGCCCGTCTGCAGGCGTGAACGTGATGCTGCGCAAGATCGCCGTGGCGGCGGCGGCGAAGCCGGCGGTGGAGATCCGGCAGGACGGCGAGAGCTTCTACATCCGCACCTCCACCCCCGTGCGCACCACCGAGATCCGCTTCAGGGTGGGCGAGGAGTTCGAGGAGCAGACGGTGGACGGGCGGCCCTGCAAGGTGTGCCAGGGGCACCCAAGGGCGCTGCGCGCGGCTGGGGGGGTGGGAGAGTGAGTGGGAGATGGTGTGAGAGCGTGTGAGTGTGAGTGAGTGTGACCCGTTCCCTGTGCCATCATCCCCTCCTTATGAGTGTGGCTGTGAGTGCAACTGTGTGAGTGTGAGACTCCTTGTGTGGGTGTGTGAGTGTGAGTGAGTGTGACCCGTTCCCTGTGCCCCCAACCCCTCCCTGGGCCATCATCCCCTCCTTGTGAGTGTGGCTGTGTCTGTGAGTGTGAGACTGTGAGTGTGACTGTGTGAGAGTGAGTGTGAGTGTGACCCATTCCCTGTGCCCTCAAACCCCTCCCTGTGCCATCATCCCCTCCTTGTGAGTGTGGCTTTGTCTGTGAGTGTGAGACTGTGAGTGTGACTGTGTGAGTGTGACTGTGTGAGTGTGAGACTGTGAGTGTGAGTGTGACCCGTTCCCTGTGCCCTCAAACCCTTCCCTGTGCCATCATCCCCTCCTTGTGAGTGTGAGAGTGTGAGTGTGACTGTGTGAGAGTGAGTGTGAGATTCCTTGTGTGGGTGTGTGCGAGTGTGTGTGACCCCTTCCCTGGGCCATCATCCCCTCATTCAGAGTGTGGGTGTGTCTGTGAGTGTGAGAGTGCGAGTGTGACTGTGAGAGTGAGTGTGAGTGTGAGACTGTGAGTGTGAGTGTGTGTGACCCCTTCCCAGTGCCATCATCCCCTCATTCAGAGTGTGGCTGTGTCTGTGAGTGTGAGAGTGCGAGTGTGACTGTGAGAGTGAGTGTGAGTGTGAGACTGTGAGTGTGAGTGAGTGTGACCCGTTCCCTGTGCCCCCAACCCTTCCCTGGGCCATCATCCCCTCACTGTGAGTGTGAGAGTGTGAATGTGACTGTGTAAGTGTGACTGTGTGGGTGTGAGACTCCTGTGTGGATGTGTGAGAGTGTGAGTGTGAGTGAGTGTGACCCCTCTCCTGTGCCCTCTTCCCAGTGCCATCATCCCCCCATTGTGTGTGTCTGTGAGTGTGAGAGTGCGAGTGTGTGACCCCTTCCCTGTGCCATCCCCTCCCTGTGAGTGTGACTGTGTGAGTGACTGTGTGAGAGTGAGTGTGAGTGTCAGACTGTGTGTGTGACTGTGAGTGTGACACCCTCCCTGTGCCATCATCCCCTCCTTGTGCCCCCAAACCCCTTCCCAGTGTCCCCAACCCCTTCCCAGTGCCCCCCCCCCCTCCCAGTGCCCCCAATCCCTTCCTTGTGCCCCCAACTTGTCCCTCCCCCCCCAAATCCTTTCCCAGTGCCCCCAAATCCTTTCCCAGTGCCCCCAAACACCC